TCGATTTAAAAAAAAAAAAGGAGACTGAAACTTTGAGCCCCGATTGACATTCTGGTGAAAAGGATACCAGATCCAAAAAGCACACGTCGATGAGAACTTCAGGTGAACCGGACCAAACCGTCGCTAAACTGTTGACACCAAAATCAAACTGTCCCTGAACCGTCAGACCAAATTGAGCCACCGATCCGATCGGACCCACGTTGATCGAACCGTTAACCAGTCCGGTTCAGATAAAAAAAAATTTTTTTTTGAATTTTTTTAAAGATTTTTTTTATATATTATTTTTTTATTTTAATTATTATTATTAATATTTATGTATGTAAAAATGTTTAAATTTACCAAAATAATTTTTTATTATTTTATAATATTAATTAATAATATAAAATTGATAAAAAATAAGAAAAGGAATTTTTTTCGACGATGAGATTCAAAAGTATTTCGAGTAGTGATGCCTACGAAATCTCTAAGTGATAAGATTTTTTTTAAAATACTACCAGTGTATTGGAGTATTTATAAAATAATTTTTCAATACAATAAAAATTTTTTTTTTTTCTTTAAGTAATAAATAAAAATTGATTAATAAATTAAAAATATAAGAAGTAAAAATGAAAAGAAAAGAAATTTTATCCAATGTGGGATTCTAAAAGTATTCCGAGTAGAAATGCTTTAAGAAATCCCTAGGTAAAAAGATTTTTTTTTAATATTACCAGCGTATTGAAATATTTATAGAAAATCTTCAATATAATAAAAAAAATTTTTCTTCAAAATTAAAAAAATAAAACAATTAATGAAACAATTAATAAAATTATTTAAAAAAAGAGAATAAAATGTATGCATCAACATGATAACATTCTGCATTACATGCATGAAATTTTTTTACAAAAAGTAAATTCAAACCTCTAAAGATGAGATTTTAAGGTGTTTCGAGAAGTGATGCTACTGGAGTATTTTGAGAATTATTTCAATAAAAAAAGTTCTAATTTATTTTTCTCAAATAAAATTTGAATAATAAATTTTTTTTTAAAAAAAAAAACAAACCAATTTTCAAAAATAAAAAATCAAGAATTATTTTTTAAAAAACACAAAAAAATGGATTATTTTTATCAAAATTAAAGGATAATACGTTCTTAATTGGTACCATTTTTAATGGGTGCTGTGGGGGTGCTAATCCTTCCCCACGCGTAACCGACTCTCGAATTCAGACTGTTTCACAAACCGTAAAATTATCTTTTTAATAAATTTTAATTAATTTTAAACTTTATTAAAAGGATATGTTTTAATAGGTGGCCAATAGCATCTAGTCAAAAAATATTGATGACGACTCTGTTATTTTCTTATTTCATTTTCAAATTCGTCGGACGAACACAAAATCGTTACGACATTATTTATGAAATTTAAAAACTCCAACGATACTAGACAAAACACGGAGTTAAAAATTCTCTTGAAACTAAACAATAAACATTAAACATGCACAAATTTATCCAATTTTGTCTCTGACATCCTACAATGTCTTCATCCATTTCACCTGGCATAAGCGACACAGAATTTGAAGGATTTCGGTCCAAAAACATTAGATCTAAGTCCTCCACCCTCCCTTTAAAGGGTGCATTCCTACCCAAAAAATCCAACCTAGCCGCCCAACCAACCCTTTTATTGTCTTCATCCATTTACTATATAATATGCATAAACTTACAATTTGAATGCTTTGGAAGTTTCTGTCACCATTTCTTTATTTATAGCCTCACCTCGCCTCACCTCCCAAAATTTCATTGTTTGCGCCTCTATGTCTTCTATTATTTTATTTTATTTTTCTTCCTATGAAGTTCATAAATATAACATCAATAATTATTTGCACAGTTGTTAATATAAAGGAAGTTCCCTATTCATATAGAAATTACTCTTATAGAATTCCAATGATATAAATATTGGGATTAATTAAAATACAATTTCAGATACAATATTTTGCTTAAAATGAAAAAAATGAATAATATAAATACCTTAATTAATGTCTCCAATGGGATACTTATGCGTAAATTTGAATTTTATATTCTTAAAGATTTGAGGCTCAAATCTTAAAACTGACAAAGTAAAACTTAAAAAGTATGAGAAATTATCGATTATTGAATGCTTTTATAGTTTGTATACACCAAAAACAAAATATAAAGACCTTAGTAATTTTTCGTCATATAATTCAATCACGGAAAAACTAGAAATTATGGATCATTAAACCTGCAGGTAAGACCCAAGATAGAAAATGAAATTCCATGAATATATTCTCTTTTATCCTGTCACAAAGAACATGAGAACTTATCTTAAAAGGGAAAAAAAAAGGAGGTAGATGGATAAAATGGATTGTTTGAAATGATAGAACAAAAGATAGAATTTGTCAGAGAAGGGGATGCAATGAACGTTACCGGTAGAAGATCGAGGAAAAATGTCCTAAATACTTACCCTTCTCGAATAATCAAACCCTTTGTGTGGGGATGTTGGGGCCTTAGTGGGATATCTCACTGGGTCCACTTGATAAGATGAGGTTTGACCATTTCATTTTTTAAAAATATTTCTTTAAATATTCTTCTCCTAAAATGTCCACTATTGGAATTCATTAGGTTAGAGGAAGGGGGGTTGTGGCTCTGTTAGTAAGGCATGACCTTGAGACATGAACACTAACACTAGTCGACCTTGCCTTGGGAGGCAACCTACCTCCCACGTTCCCTTCATTTAAATAATAGAGAGAAAACAAAAGAGGAAAAACGGGTTGTTCTTTTTTTCTTTTCTCTATTTTTTTTCCATTGAAGTTGGTTATAGTTATCGTTTTCTTTGTTTCTTTTCTTAAATAAATCAATAGAAATTAAAAAAAAAATTGCACTTAATATACTTCCATCAAAAAGAGAAAATTGTGCAATTATGTAACCAAAGATATGATTTGGTAATGCTGAGAAGATTATGAAACTTTTTAAAAGAAAAGGGTGGAGATCGCACTGATCAGCTTTATATTGGGTGGCGAAACTATTCCTAGCAACCTCAGCTCCACCACTTTTTTCTTAAATTAAAAAAAAAAAAGAAAAAAGAGGCAAGAATGAGCTCATTATTGCACACGCTCTACTATTCTCTACTCTACAAACCCAACTTATTAGGCCGACCTCCTTTCAATTAAACCACACTTGCACTCCAGCAAATATGTATGATCAGAAGAGTAGTTATTGTGCGGTATTTGCAAGGCAGATAAAGCTTATATTAAACTGAATCTCGAGTCAAATAACATTAATGTCCAAGCATAACTCTCACTTGAAGCCAAGCTCATGTAGGTACTTGGGAAAATGCCAAATACTCGGGCTATGAAGTGTATCAGGATGACTACTCAATCACCTATGAAAATTAACCATACAGTAATGATCATGATAAGAAGAACACAACTTTTGATTTCGAGAATTTGCCTGAGGCCATGAACAATCGATCATGGAGATAATTAATTATATTAGCCGGTAAACTACAAAGGAAAAAGATGGCTATGAAGGCCAAAAGTGGGTCGGGTTGGATTTCTTCAATGCATGGCTAAGTGAATCAAGCGACTGAGAAGCAGATATCATGTAGAAATGGATTATGAAAAAACCTATATCCAAATGAAAGATCAAAGGGAACATACATCATATAAGATATCTTATACAAAACAGACACAGTTAAAGTCAACAATTAAACTAGGTAAAAATGAAATAGATGGTTCGAAAGGACCATAAGACTTGACTTAAGCATAATAGAAAGTGTTGACACAGTCAGAACAGTCATATATAAATATATATATATGTTACATATATATATATATATATATGCGTGTGTATTAGGATTCTTACAGAGGACACATATGGTGAATTCTAGTACAGCGCCCAGCAATATCGCAGATGAAGATCATCGCCTTCGCCCCGTTAATGTGAGACAATATTGACTTTATCAATTTACTATGCTCAGCAACCATATAGTATTCGCATAGTTAGATCAGCAACGATTTATAAGGATGGCTCGCCGGTGTATTTTCTTCCGGTGAGCAACTGTTTTTTTTTTTTTTTTTTACTTTGAAGTTAAGTGGTAAAAAGATAAAAAATATTATTACAACTTAATTTTTTTATTTTTTATTTTTCATTTTTTAATTTTAATTTTAATTTTTTTATTTAAAAATTATGAATAATAAAAAAATAAATAAAACTGATTATATAATAAATTAATAAATAAATTTTAATTATTTGTTAATAAAACTATTATTTGATATAAAAATAATTTAATAATTTCTAATTATTTAATTATTAATGTTTATAAGTATTAAATAATTAAAATTATTTATTATATAATGTATAAAAAAAGAAATTAAAATTAAATTAAATATATAAACATATTAAATATATAAATAAATTACACCAAAAAAAAATTTTTCTTGATTAATTTTGCAAAAGATCTAGCTTTTTCAATTTTATTCCTAATTGAAAGTTTTTACTATTTTTTATTATAATTCATTTCACCTCTGCTTTTATTTTTCCATTCAAAGACATATTTCAATATTGATTTTAATTTTATTATTATAATAACTAATATTATTTTTATCGTTGTTTTTAATTTCACCGAAATTAATCTCATTACTCATCTAAATTTACCCTGAATATGGTACTACCCTTTATGTGAGAGTATATCCAATACATAGGGAAATTGCCAAAGGATGACAAATTATTTCCCAATTTCTTTCTGACTTCCTGATTAAATTCCTAACGATTCTTGAAGTTATTGCATATTTTGCTGATAAAACTTTGAATGGCATTTTTTTTGGTTGGATGGATAACATTTACGGGTGAGAAGAATAAAGATATAGATAATCAGAAGTTTAATTGGATAATGAACGCATACAAGGAAAATCTCTGTGGAATTAAGAACAAGTAAAATTCACACTTTACAAGTAAACCAAGAACATTACAACTACCCATTACAAAAATCAAATAAATTCTAAATTCTATCTCTTATCTAAGCATCTGAATATTGCCCACAACTTGATGATGCTGATAAGTTGGCTGGCAAGCTTTCTCCAAAGAGGTGTAGCCCACATTAGCAATTGTTGCACTTGGAAACCCAACTGTACCCATTGGCCTGTTAACAGCAGCTTGTTCCAAAGATTGCACCTGTCTCTTCAAGAATTTGACATAATGAATAGCCTCATCTAACATTGAAGCTGTATCCATTTTGGTGCCTCCTGGAACAAGTCTCTGCAGAATCCTTATCCGCTCACTTATTCGTTCTCTTCTATGCCTGGCGACCACGCTCTGTGGATCTTTAGAGATCTTCACATTCCTTCTTTTTGGAGGCTTAATGGATTCCGGGTCTATATGAACAGGCTGCATTGATGCTATGCGGAAAATCATCTCTCTCATCGCTGCCATGGAGTTTTTCTTATCTACAGAAGAAGGATATGAATTGGCATTATTGAAAGGAGTTGGATATTTGAACTTGTTGCGAGTGGCCATATTGTTGGGTTGGAGAGGTGGAGTCAAGGGTTCTTGAACTGGGTTATTGCCAATGTAAGATAAAGTGGAAGGCAGGGTCATCAATGTATTAAGTGAAGAAACATTTGGGTTTGGGTTAATGGGTGATGTGGGTAGGATGCTGGTGCTTGAAGTCCCATTGGAGAAGTGAATTTCAGGTAATGTAGAAGACCTCTGGAAAGCAGGCTCACAGAATTCTGGAAGCTTTTCCATTTGCATCATCATTGTCATCATATCCATGTGATCTTCTGTTGAAGATTTCGTCATGTCAACATCCATTGAATCTCTCCCAAACTACTAACTCTTCCCCTTAAAAAGTACTACTTCTATGCGTGCGTGCGTTGAGAGAGAGAGATGGGGAAGTCGGAAATGATAATTCTGAAAAAAATGAATGGCAGAGGGATGGGGGGAGCTGAGAGGAAGCTGAAGATAACTTTTATAGAGTTAGGGTTTTAATCAGAGATGTGTGCTGAGCAGAAAGATAAGGAGAGATGAAAAGCGTATTAAAAAGTACCACCAATATCCAGCAAGGAAGTGGAAAGGACTTTCTATAGCAATTTGTGACCAATTTTTTTTTAATTCATGCAAAGCTGATAGGAAAGTCCCCTCCCCAAAACTCATTTATGATTGAATATGTGATCTCTGATAGTGACCGCCCATTATGTGGGCTAACTCTATTCACTCATCCTATCAACCATCCGATCTAGTGACCAGGAACACCAACTGAAAGTTCAAAAAGCCGACACGTGTAAAAGATCAGATTGATCACGCGTTTAGGCCCACAAATTGGATGGCTTGGATTAAAGGAATTGTTCAAGTAAGGTGCATGAACCACTTTGGTTTTATGGACTGCGCCTTTGAGTACTGAAAGTGCTTGCTTTGCATTAAAAAAATTTTTTTACTTTGTTGAAAGAAGACCATCAAACCCCACAGTCACATGACATTTGTCAGAAAGGCAACCCTTTAGAGGACTCCGGTGCCGCATAAAGATTCCGGTAACTTTGGGGAGACACTTTGATGGTCACAGTGAGACAGCAGCTTTGGAGTGGGGTTAAAGGGTCAACATTCAATTTGGAACTTTGCATCCACTTACTGTATTATTCTAGCTTGGGCAATATCCTAAGGAGGTGATATATATTTGCAGTAGATGCAGCTTTGGTCTCTCTCTCTCTCTCTCGTCACTGCTTTCCTTTGGCACGCATTTCAAGGTGGATTAGAAGGTGACGTGATGCAGACCCCCACTGGCCACTGCTTGCACGCAAATGCTCGTTCCTGGGTGAAAATTTTCTTGGTTGCTAACTGGTAGTAATTAACTGACACTTGCATTCGTGAGGCTGCTTTTCAGTTTTCACCATATTGTATGTAGAAAAAAAATTTCACAGAAATGACAATAAATTTTATTGCCATGAAAAGGAATTAAGTTTAACGTGAGAGGTGACACGAAAATTATATTACTTGCCGCTAGGATACTCAACTATGCTGTGAAAATTGCAGGGGAAAACTATTAAGAAACATCAATCTTGGAGCAAAAAATCCAAAATGATCAGATTATCACTTATATAGGTGGTTTTTACTTTTTACCTCCGATGTTCAGTAAGGGAGTACTATTGCCAACAATCTAACTTTGTTAGTAGAATATTGGAGTTGTAGTTTTCAATTATCGAGTTTCAAATCTTGATAATTTTACATATAAAAAAATTATTAATCCACTTTCATATATATATATAATGTACTTTCTTTAAAATTTAATGTTAACCATCTGTGTTTTTTTTTTCTTTTAAGTTAAGGACATGAAACTCACTGTATTTTGAAAATGATGCTCTAATAAGGACATGACAAGTATATTTTTAAGTGCATAGGGTTCTAAGATTCAAGATTTTTCCAGTAACTCAAAAACAATATTTAAATATTCTGCATCAGTATCAGAAAACTTCCCCTATCTTCTGCTTCCCAAGCCGGGGACCCAAATTAGATTGAAAAAATAATTGAAAAAAAAAAAAAGCACTCAGAAAAGTGATTCTAGTAGAAAACAGTATTTTGATTACATCTTGTTATTCAAGAAAACTAGCATAGCAGATAATTACATTGCTCAGAAAGTGGTCCCATCCTCACGATCTATCTTCCCTGGTTTTTCTTTTCACTGATATCCTTCAATCTTCACCAAAGATGGATCTTATATTTATACAGGTTTCCGAAATGAACAAAACAAAAGACGCAATGGAAATTCAACTTTTCCAGATTGTCAAGCTTTGATCATCCAATCTATCATTAACATTGAAGAGAGCCCTTTTCCTATGCATTCTTCAGATAAAGAGAACCCTCGTTTTCATGCATTCATAGAAACAAAGGGGACATAAAGAGAACTTTGAACTCCAAAACATGACAGAGAAAATACGGTGGTACTATTCTTCGATGATGGAGAAGGGTCAGTGTCTCCAAATTTCTAGTCCTCCTATAAGCAATAGCAAGCAGTGATCCGTTCATAAATGCCGCGGTTCCGTTCAACCATGCCAAAGTGCGAATGGAGGCCCAGGCGGTCCACTTAATTCATTGGATTGGAAACTCTAGCGCTATGCTCAATTGGTAGGATAACCCTTTCGGATCCAATCGGTTTATCCAATTGAAATAGGACCAAAATGGCAAATTCTTGAGTGTTTTCTTTATCTGCTAGCTAGCTATTTTTTGCATAGTGAACAGGAATCTAAAGATAATAAAAACAATATGAAAAATGGACCACAAGAATAGATGAGATAGTATGCTGAGAAATGATTGAGTCTATCGCATCAGTTGTCATGATTTTTTTATGCCTGGTGCTGATATACATAGACGAAGAAGACATTTTCTTTGGTCAACATACTGTCCATTTCTATAAATAGAATCCAAGGGCTTAATAACCAAGTTTATCAAAGATGCAAGCCTTGTATGGCTTCATCAACCACTTTCTTAAGCCATGAGCTGGCCTCTTAGAATTTTTAAGGCAAAAGCAATCAATTTTTTTTTCTTTTCTAATTAATTCCAATTTCTATATTTATATATTAAAGGAGTCCCCAACTCCAATTTGGGGACACCTAATGAATGCTTTAAAAGAAGATTAAAGGTTACTTTTTGGTATAAAATTTTTTTACATCTATCAACCTTGAAGTTTTTAAAAGATGGATATGAGAAGAACAAGGAAGAAGTTTATGGAGACAAATCCCATAAACCACCTATTGTCATAATAATTTTGTGTTCGTCCAACGAATTTGAAAATAAATAAAAAATATGAAGTCGTCACTAATATTTTTTGATTATGTGCAATTAGACACTTATTAAAATATATTATTTTAATAAAATTTTAAAATTAATTAAAATCTATTAAAAAAATATTTTTAGAGTCTGTAAAACAATTTGGATCTGAGAGTCAGTTACGTGTGAGGAATGATTAGTACCCCCATAACGTCCATTTAAAACGGTACCAATTAATTACGTATTATCCATTGATTTTGATAAAAATAATTTTATTTTCAGTATTTGAAAAATAATTTCCTTGATTTCCTTTGTTTATTGAAATTTTGATTTTTTTTTCTTTTATTATTGTTCCATATTTATTGTTCAAATTTTATTTAAGAAAAATAAATTAGAACTTTTTTATTAAAATAATTCTTAAAATGTTGCAGTACACTAGTAACATTAGAAGAACTCTTTCTCACCTAAAGATTTCTTAGGCATCGCTTCTCGGAATACCTTAAAATCTTATCCTCAAAGGCTCGAATTTACTTTTCACAAAAACTTTATTAAGCATGCAATGCAAAATACTGATATGTTTATGTATGTATTTTATTCTCTTTTTTAGAAATTTTATTGATTGTTTTGTTTTATTTTTTTAATTTAAATTTTTGAAATAAAAAGAATTTTTATTATATTGAAGTTTTTTTATAAACATTTCAATACACTGGAAATATTTAAAGAAATCTTCTCACTTAGAGATTTTGTAAAGCATCACTACTCGAAATACTTTTAAAATCCTATCATTAGATAAAATTTTCTTTTTACATTTATATTATTATTATTTTTAATTTATTAGTAAAAAGAAAAGTTTTATTATGTTGAAAAATTTTTTATAAATACTCCAATACACTGATAGTATTTTAAAAAAATCTTCTCACCTAAAGATTTCGTAGGTATCACTACTCGGAGTATCTTTAAATCTCATAGTCAAATAAAAATTTTCTTTTCTTATATTTTATTATTTTATTAGGTTTATTCTAAAATTAACAAAATTATCAAAATTTTTATTATATATTTCATCATTTTATTTTTATTAATTATTATTATAAACAACAAAATTTATTCTAGTAAATTTGAACATTTTAACATACATAAATGTTAATAATAAAAATTTAAAATAACAAAAATAATATATAAAAAATCTATAAAAAAAATTTTTACCTGAACCGGACCGGTAAACAATCCGATCAAAATCGGTCTGGTCTGATTGGATCGACAGTTCGAAGTTGATCTGGTTTGGGTTCAGCAATTCGAGAACGGTCCGGTTCGATCTGGGTCAATTCAACTGGATCAATCAAAGGCTGAGGGAGAAGTGGATCATCGGGTCGGGTGCGCAGACCTCGGGTCGAATCTTGGGCTAACACACGTTTCTTTTACAGTTCAAAATGACATCATTTTGATAGTTATTGAAATGGCGTAGTTTTAAGGTTAGGTCTACTATATAAAAGTGACAATTTTTTTAGCTCATTTCCCCTCCCTTCTAAAAAAAAACACTTTTCCCTCTCTTTTTTAGATAAAACCCAATGGGGTGGGTCGATCATCATCACCACCATCGTCGCCGCCATCACTGGTCACCGACCGTCGTCATCGGTGACAAAAAAAGTTTTAAAATTCACCCAATACTCCTTCAAGACTCTAGAGTTCAGATCTGAGCCTGGTTTTGCAAAAATAGGCTCCAAACGACTCAGATCTGGCTTGGAAGGTTCAGTCAAAAAAAATTTTTGTGTTAGTGTTTTTTTTTTTTTTTTGATGCTATGGTCCTCATTTTCAGAGGTTGAATTTTTTTTTTTTTGCTGGATTTGTGTTTGTTTAGCTTATTTTGTCTTGGGTTTTTGTTTGACATAAAGTTTTTTTTTGCAAATCTGGCATAATTTTTTTTATAAGGCTTCTGGTTTTATTTTTAATCGTTGATCATCTCTTTTGTGTAAGCAATGAGCTATTTTTATAAAGCTTTCTAGGATTCAAATCCCAAATTTTCAACCAGCCTGGATTTTTAGTGGCCAAAATCCTCGCTGCCAAGTTAGTCAAAGTGTTAGACAACTATCGGCAACTAGCGGTGGTGGTGTTTTTGGACTTTCAAGAAGGGTGCATTTAATGCATTCATATTTTAGTCAAATCGATTAGAATAGAAAAGAATAAGAAGAAGAAAGAAAAAAAAAAGAAAGAAAGAAGAAAAAATAAAATAAAAAAGAGAAAAAAATAAT